CCACAGGGGCTGCAGCCTACGCCGTCGCCATCGACTCACAGCAGCCCAGCTCCAGGTTGAGCTGTTGTTCAGCATCTTAGCTGTAGAGGGCAGTGTCATTGGCCCTCATATGTGGGATCTGAACTGGGGTCCTCTGGCATCCCAAGCTAGTTCTTTACCATCGTGCCACTTGGCTGGCCCGAGACTATATTTTCTTATGATAATAAACTTTGTTCTAATGTAGAGCCACCAATATCGCATTTAATCCATGCTATTATATACTGTTTTTATTAACATTTCTTTTGTGCAGGTCTATCACCCCAACAAAGCTGTGAAGTACTTATCCAAGTTAGCTACTGCTAGGTAACAAACCACCTCAAAACTCCATGACCTAAAATAACATTTATTATAGCTCACATGTCTGGGTAGCTGGGGGTTCATTGATCTTGGCTGAGCTTCACCGAGCATTTTCATATCTCTGTGGGTCAGCTGGGAGGACTCTGCTCCAGTCCAGGCTTGGCTAGAGTGGATTAGATGAGGCAGCTGTGTCCCTTGGCTGTCATCCTTCTCTCTAGAGTCATGGACTAGCCCAGGCATGCCATTCTCATGGTGATAGCAGAAGAGCAAGCGGAACCATGCAAGGTCTCTTGAGGCTAGGCTAGGAATCGACACACCATAACTTCTGTTTCATCTGTTGGCCAAAGCAAACCACATGGCTGAGCTCAGAATCAAGTGGTGGGGAAATACATACTCCTTCTCTTACTGGGAGAAACCACAACGCCATGTGGTAAGAGGGCATGGATATAGGAAGGTGTACAGAATTGGGGTCTTTGATGCAATTTGTCACATGCTGACAGGCAGATTACGCTGAGCTTTTGTACAGTGCCTAGCCCTGTGTTGTATATACAGAGGTGTCTGTTACCTATTGTGTTGCAGCAAACTACCCCAAAACTTAGTGGCTTAAAGCAACAGCCATTATTTTTGCTCATGATTCCATGGGTTAGCCAGGTGGGCTCCACTGGGATGACTCACCTCTGCTCTATGTGATGTCAGCAGGCTTGCTCATGTGGCTGCAGTTTAAACTGAAGGATCTGGAAGTCACATGACTGGCCCCTGTGCTGGGATTGCTGGGACGTTTACAAGTATCTCCCTCACGATCTTTCAGTTTCCAAGACCCCTTACTCTGCATCATTTTTCCAGCATGGTAGCTGGACTTTGTTTGCCTGGCCATCTCAGGGTTCCAGGAGAATGAAAGCAGAAGGCAGGAGCTCTTGAGGCAAAGACTCAGAAGCTGCACAGCATCACTTCTGAGCATTTTGTTGGTCAGAGAACATCACAGACTGAGCCCAAATTCAATGGGAGGAAACACAGACTTCACCTCGTGATTAGAGGGCTGGCAGAGTTACACTGTGGCATGCAGGATGAGAGGGATTCTGCCACAATAGTGAGAAGCTCAGGAAACACCTACTGAGTGATCACTTGAACAAATGCGTAAAGTGGAATAGGGGTCTGCTTGTGAAAAGGACTCTATTGTTGGATTCTGATGAAATACAATTCTGATACAACAATTCTCTACTTTCTAGCTGTCTTCAGTTTTGCCCAGTGTAGACCCAGATGATGGATTTCCCCAGATCCGTTGGCATCAAACAGCAGACTTTGGCTATGTCCCCAACCTAAGGATGCCCAACACTTTCATGGCTGTTGCTATGGATCTCTGTGACAGAACCTCACCTTTTGGCAGGTATTTGTGCCTCTTGGGTGTTGTTTGAGGAGTAATCATGTTTGTTCCTTGTCTGAGGCCCTCACTGTGATGTTCACTTGTGAGGGGACAGTGAGTAGGATTGGACCTTTGAAGCATCTACAGTCATTTACACTGGGGTGTGCTGCAGTCAAAAACAAACAAA